GGATCAGTTCAAAGTCAGTTCAGTGCCAACTTCATCTCTGGGGGGTTCCCTGCAAGAACCAGAAGCATTCCTCCCAGCCCCACATCCTTTGGGATCTTTGAAGCTCTGGTGCCAAACATCCCAAGGTGTGCAGCTCAGGTTGGTGCCTGCTCAGCACGGGAGGGCTTTTCCTGGAGAAAAACCAGGAATTCAGGCTTCCCTCTACAGACACACACAAGAACAAGGGTGTAACATTTGCTCCATTTTCAGCCTGGTGGGATTTATGGGAAATGAAGACAACAATTGAGAAATCCTTGGATGAAAGGCCTGGTTTGTGAAGATGTTTTTGCACCTGGCATGACAGATAGCAGCAGATATCTGGGCACCCCCAGCAGATTGCAGACAGCTACGTGGAGCTCCAGGTGCTCCTTGGAAACCTGAGCTGGGTGACAGAGCCCTGGCCACAAAAGGTGGAGGAAATTCCTTGAACCCAGATGCCCAAAACCTGGGGTTGGCTTGAGGCTGCGGTTCCTTGCCCGAGGCACAGCTCTGGGTGTGACAGGGCTGATCCCTTCAGCAAACCAACCCCAACCAACAGCGCCACGGCGCTGTCCCGGCCCTCTCCGGCAGCACCCCTTCAAAGACAGCGCCCTTTTTTGTAGAAATGATGTCATTCACTGGCCAGCCTTCCCTCGGGGTGAGCAAACACGGCTGCGTTGCCTTCCCCACGTCGAGGGGATCGTCTTTCAGCCTGCAGTGACCAGGATGAGGAGTGCAGGAGCGGGAGCCAAGGCAGATTTATTGTATCACCGGGCTGGCATCTGGAATGTCACACACAGCTCTGACTTAACTCTGAAACTTGGCATAGCTGGAATATGGGCAGTAACAGGTAATGCTGCTTTTGTATTTCTCTGTTTTCTTTAGAATAATTGTTGCATTGGGACAGAGGTTAAATACTTCCCTCTGTTTGCTTTGTTTTATGAGCTCTCTCTTTATTTTTTTATTAATTTATCATTTGCACTCTTCCTGATTTTCTCTGCCTGACACATCCCATGCTATGTTATTTCCACGGCATGCCCATACAAACATTTTTCACCCCCTCTGGCCTCTGTGCCCCCTCACTTCATGCCCTCTGTGCAGTTTCTTTGCTCCTGCTGGTTTTTCCATGCATACACCCCCTGTGTGCATTTTGCATGGGCACAGAGAGAATTCCCACTGCTGCTTGCACCAAGGGAATGTCAAATCCTGCAGACTTTTCCTGCAGGACTGCAGTCATCACCTGTGCTACTTCTGTGAGCAGAAGCTCTGTCTCAGGAGCCTTTTTCCTCACTGTCCCTCTCTGCACTTTTCCTTATTTCCCTTTCCTTTCCCCCACACGTGTTCCTGTGCATGAGACCTCGCTGTGGCTGCAATTGCCACCACCTTGCCCATGACAACAGGGCCATAAAAGCTGAACTGCGCATGGTAAACAAATAAAATACACTCCCTTTCCCAAGGAGCTTTGGAGAACCTCTTGCAAAAGGCAAACACGGCGATTTCACTTTTCCAAACCGCTCACAGGATTTGCCTGAGATTTGCCGTGCCTGAAGCTGCCACTCCAAGCTGGATCTGGTGGTCCCAAGGAATTCAGGTGCCTGGGAGCTGTGATCCATCCTTGGCAAGCTCAGGTTCCAACAATTCCCTGGAGGAATTTCCTGCTTCTGCCTGACACAGCACGGGCAAGGTGAAGGGCTTTGACTCCTCCTGGTGCCTGCCAGGAGGTGACTGTGCTTCACATGATTCGCATCCTAAAAATGTGCAGATAGTGCTGAATGTGCCACAGGGATGCTGAATCGAAATTAGACTGCACACGGGCAGATTTATTGCAAGAAACTTAAATTGCTCAACGTAGCAAAAGTCTCAAAGTTGATTCAGAGGAAAAAATAGAGGGGAGAGAGAGAGAAAGCGAAGACTGTCATTGCACCAACTGAGCAGCAATTAAGTTCAAGTGAACTTATTAATATACATTTTTATTGAAATAAAGTAAGTCAAATTAAGGCATTTAAAGGGAAAACTTGATTTTTATCTTGAATCCTGCGGAGTTTGCGTCAGTTTAAAGCATCCCTGGGGCCGGGGGAGATGCAGGGGGACACTGCCGGCAGACCCCGCTGTGCTCGCTGCCTTCACCACAGGTGCCTGCCTCACCGCATCCCAGCCCCGGAGACTTTTCCTATTCCCAAGCACTTTCCCCCGGATCTCTCCGGGCAGAGGAAAGCGAGGATTCCTCCGGGGAGGAGCGGGGGGTTCCTGGGGGGACACTGCCTGCAGACCCCTCTGTGCTCGCTGCCTTCATCGCAGCCCCAGCCCCGCTCTGCCTCACCGCATCCCTGCCAGTGACTTTTCCCACTCCTCGGCACNCCCCCACAGGGGGCTGCTGCCTCCTTGGGGCATCCCCTGGGGACTGATATTGATCTTTCTGAGATTCCTCCAGCTCTTCTGAGCTTCTCATTACCCTGAGAAGGGTATTTCTCCAAAGAATTCCCCCCTTCCCTACTCCAGGGAGCATCAGGGATGATTTAAACCACAGGGTTTGCATTCCAGAGGCCAGGGAAGCTCCACAGGTGCTCTGTGAGCCTGGAAAACCTGCAGGAAATGCGTTTCAGCTTGGGATGGCTGTTGGAAGGGGGAATGTGACATTTCCAGAGAGCCATGGCAGGAGCACGAGCCCAGAAATGGGACTTTAAAGATTTTCTCCTGCCATGAACAGGGACAAATCCATCCACCTGAGGGGGTATTCTTGGGCTGCTAGAGGGAGGGCAGGGGAGGAGCAGGAATTCAGGACCCTGAAAGCTGCTGAGGCACAGGAAAGCTGCAGCAAAGTCTTCCTGCACAGAGCTTTGTCCACCTCAAAAAGGGAAAAAGGCCCAGAGTTGATACCTTGGGCTTTAAATTTTTCTGTTCTGGTTTGGAGTGCAATTTTAGCTTTATTTTNAAACTGGCAAAATGGGAAAAACTGGGAGAAAGTGGGAGAAACTGGGAAAAGCTGGGAGAAAGTGGGAGAAACTGTGAGAAATGTGAAGAAACTGGGAAAATGGGTGAAATTGGGATAAACTGGGAGAAACTGGGAAAAATGGGAGAAACTGAGAGAAATTGGAAAAAACTGGGAGAAACTGGGAAAACCTGGGAGAAACTGGGAGAAATGGGGAAAAACTGGGAGAAACTGAGAGAAATTTGGAAAAACTGGGAAAAACTGGGAGAAATTGGGAAAAACTGGGAGAAACAGAAAAAACTGGGAGAAACAGGGAGAAATGTAGAAACTGGGAAAATACTGGGAAAAACTCAGAAAAACTGGGGGAAACTGAGAGAAAAGTGGGAGAAACTGGGAGGAATGGAGAAACTGGGAAAAACTGGGGGAAAAATTGGGAAAAATTAGGAGAAAATGGGAGAAACTGAGAGAAATTTGGAAAAACTGGGAGAAACTGGGCAAAACACTTGTTTTCTCCTTGGAAAAACCCATGGATGTGCCCTGGGCTGGTGCCCACACGCTCCTGTGCCCCCAGTGGCATTTTGTGACCTCCAAGAAATGCAAATGTGCCTTAAACGGGGATAAGAGTGACACTGTCTCAGTCTCTATCCCTCCACCACACACCCCAACAGCTTTAGAAAATGTCTCTTTGAGTGTAGCTTCCAAGGACCGTACTGTCGGTCGCGAAAATAAAACCTTTCACGTTTATTAATTTGGCTATCTCGCTGATCATTTATAACAACACATTGCTGGCCCTTTTTGGTCTGCCTTGCATCAGCGGGATGGAGCAGAATTGTGTCACGGAGCGGGGAACCGAGCAGGGCGATAACTCAGCCGCGGGGGAATGAGGCAGCAGCTATTTATAGGCGGCACATTGCTAATCACTGGCACGGGGAAGCCTCCAGCGGCTCCGAGCGCTCATCCACACCTCCCACAGCCGAGACAAAGCCGCTGTGCCCGGGCTGAGGCGCTGCCAGCCCGCTGCCATCCGAGCCAGTCTCCCATCCACAGCCCGCTCACCCCGGGAATGATGGACCGAGGGGATGGCGGTGCTGCCAAATTCTGCATCCAACTCTCGAGATCCCCAAATCCTCCTTCTCAGCCGGGAGCTGATCCTTCACCTCTGGTGTTGTGGCTCCTTTCCTGCTCAGGCTCCCTGGGCTGACCCAGCTGTCCATGAGCTAAACGGTCTCTGGTTTGTGAGGTTTTTATGTGGCTTTATTTTTTTGTTTGTTTGGTTGTTTTTTTTTGTTTGTTTTTGGTTTTGGTTATTGTTTTGGTTATTGGTTTTGGTATTTTGTTATTGTTTTTTGTTTTGGGTTTTTTTTTTGTTATTTTTAATTTTTTGGTTATTTTTTCTCATGGCAGTTTTTAATTCCTGTATAAGCAACATTTTTAAAATTGTGTGTTCTCTCAGCTTTGTGCAGTGGCTCAGCAGTAAATGAATGAATGGGAGATGAGAATGAACGAACCCAGCTGTCCATGAGCTAAAGGCTGAACAGTCTCTGATGTCAAAAATCAACTTGTTTAGGTGTTTTTATTTTTTTTTTCTTATGGCAGTTTCTGATTGCTGTATAAATAACATTTTTTAAATTGCGTGTTCTATTAGCTTTGTGCAGCGGCTCAGCAGCAAATGAATGAATGGGAGATGAGAATGAATGAACCCAGCTGGGTTTTATACATGCCCTGAGAATTGTCCTGAGAATTTATCCTCACTGGAACTGTCCAGGCAAGGCTCACATTGGGAATTGTATCAGGTATGGCAAAGGTGTGACATCTTCCCCCGGAAGGGACCCTAAATCCCACCCAGTGTAACTCCTGCCGTGGCAGGGACACCTCCCAATGCCCAGCCTGGCCTTGGGCACTGCCAGGGCTCCAGGGGCAGCCACAGCTGCTCTGGGCACCCTGGCACAGCCCAAACCTCTCTAACCAGCCCTTGCCAGGCTACAAACCCCCTGTGGCAAATGGCACTGGGAGCGCCTGGAACCAGCCAGGAAATCATTCTTTCCTTTCCNAGGTCTGGGCCATCCCCCGGCCGAGTCGCACCTGGCCGCGCGGCCGAGGAGCAAGCGATGTTCCTGCAACAGCTGGCTGGATAAGGAATGCATCTACTTCTGTCACCTGGACATCATCTGGGTCAACACACCTGGGTGAGCAGAGCGCGGCGCTCGGGGGAGCTCTGCTGATGGGCAGGGGCTGTACCTTCTGCTGGACAGGGTGGGAAAGGCTCCCGGTGCTCCGGCAGCACCTGCTCCAAGGTGCATGGCCAGCCCTGAAGGGGACAAACCGTGCTGCTGCTACTGCTGCTGCTCGGGTGTTTGTCCATCCCCGGGGGTCGGGGTGATAGCACAGGGCGCTGCTTCCTCCCGGGCTCGGCTTTTCCTGAGCTTTGCACCTCTGCGAGCCCGCAGCAACACCGAGATGTTGTGGCCGCGAGTCAGAAAAGTTCCTCTCCCCGCTCGCTCGCACGCGTAACCCCGGCTGCTGCTGCCTGCCAGGATTGTTAATGAGACAGGGGTGGGCTGGCACTGCGGGCTGAGGCTGCCAAGTCCTGCCCTCAGGAATGCCGGAGCAGCTTTCCCAGAGCTTGCAGACCAATGGCCATGGCACTGGAGCACAACACACGCGCTCAGGTGTGGTTATAATCGTGCTTGCTGACATGCATTTACAACTCGCTGCTTGCTCGGGGAATAGTTGCTTGCAGTCGCTGCCAATGCTGCAGCCTCTGGGAGAGGAGATTGCCATCAGAGATGGAGCAGGAGCGTGCTCGCAGCTCTGGGAGCAGGCTGGGAGCACCAGAACCTGCTCTGGCCCTGAGGCTCCTCAGGCTGTGCAGTGTCCTGTGTGTTTAACCTGCAGGGAAGGAGAGTGCTGGCACCTCAGGGCTGGGCCAGCCCTGCTCCTCAGAGCTCTGCCACCCATGGGAGCTTGCCCAGCCCGTGTGCCAGCCCTTGCATGGGCATCTGAGCTGCTGCAAGGAGAGAAAACTCCCATTCCCAGCCAGCACAGAGCAGCCATCCCCGGCAGGGAGGGGTGGTGTGCAAGAGGAGCTGGAGTTTAAAGCTCAAACCCATCAGTGACCTTTTCACCTTCTGTCTATAGATGAATCTTTTATTATCCTGGCACTGGCTTGGCTGCCTCCCAGGACCCTGGTACAAACCTGCTGGCCAATAAAAAGCTGGTGGCACAGCTGAATTCCTTTGTTTTTCCCAGGCACACCGCTCCCTACGGCTTGGGCAGCCCGCCAAGGCGGCGCAAGAGGTCGGCGGGCAGGTGCGAGTGTGCGCACTCCAGGGACAGCATCTGTGCCACCTTCTGCCACGGCAGGCCTGGGTAAGGCTGGGGGTGCTCAGGGATGAGAGACAGGCAGGGCTAAGGGCTCACTGGGCATGGCTCTTTGCCAGCAGCTGGGACTTGTCTGTGGCTTTTTTCTCCCTCCTGAGTGGCCTGGTGGTGTCACTGGGTGGGTTGGGTGTGCAAGGGTCCCTTCAGCAGCTGAGAGGCAGCAGTGTCTCCTCCAGCCCTGCTGCTGCTGCCAGGAGGCTGGGGAAGCTCTGGGTGTGCCGGTGGGGATGGGACATGTGAGGGTGTGGGGCTTTGGGACAGCAGTGTCCCCTGCTCAGAAGGGAGAGCTGGCAATGCTTTGGGAGTGAGGACAAATGAAGGTTTGGAATTTTGGGACAGCGGTGTCCCTTGCTCAGAAGGGAGACCTGGTAATGCACTGGGAGTGGGGACAAGCAGGGGTGTGGATTTTTGGGACAGCAGTGTTCCCTACTGAGAAGGAGAGCTGGCAATGCACTGGGAATAGGGACAAATGAAGGTGTGGAGCTTTGGGACAGCAGTGTCCCCTGCATGGCTCAGAGGGAGCAGAGGAGTGCTCCAAGCAGCCAGATGTCCCGTGGCCGTCTCTGTTATGGTGCCTGGGGGGTGTCAGCCCAGCTCCAGCAGCGCTGCTGAGGGGAGGTGAAGTCACTGTGGATATCTGTCATTAATTCCACAGCCAGGCAATAGTTACAATCCCCAATCATTCATTTTGCCTGTGAATAGAGGAGCTCTGGCACGAGGGAATAGCAGTCAAAGTCAGCCCTGAATAGCTCCCAAATAGCTGCAATTAACCCTTCAAAGCCGTGCATTCAGCTGTCTGTCACCGGGCCAGGCTCCCCCTGAGCTCCCCGCAGCTTGGCTGTGGGTGGCTCAGGCTTCTCCTCTTGCTCTTTAGGTACCTCCAGAGTCTGAAGCTCCCCGTGAGCTCTGGGACATCAGCGAGGTCTCTGCAGAGCGGTGCCACAAGGCCTTCCCATCATGGGCTGCTGAGAGCTCTCAGGTGAGCAGGGCGCCTAAACCCACTTTGAACATCCCTCATGAGCACTTGAAGATGTGATTGTGGCCCCAGGCTGCAGTTCCCACTCCGATCTGACCTCCTGTCTCCTCTAAATGAGGAGGATTTGCTGTTTCTGCTCTCTATGGCACTGAAGGCTCCATCTGAGGAGCCAGGGCTGCGTGTGCCCTCCCCAAAATGTAATTCTTGTTTGGAATGGGGAGTTCCTCTGATGTGGGACAGGCAGGTGGGTGATGGACAGAGGAGGGAGAAGGGGATGGCATCATGTGGGAAGATAATTTATGGGGCAGCAACTTTGGACCGAAGGACAAAGCTTTGCTAAGCCCACATCAGGGAATTGTGGGGAGAAAGAGCAACTCCAGGAGTATAACTGAGCTAAAGGGAGGTGGCAAATTAATTAATAAATCAAAGGCAATGGGGATGCTTTCTGAAAGGCAGGTTTGGGGAGGCAGCACTTTGGGTCATCCTTGAATCCTCTGACACCTCGTTGGGTTTGGTGGAGCTCCACTGTGCCTTAATGGAGCTGTGGGCAGAAATTCCCGCTCCTCCTTCCCCATCTCCTGCCTCCCAAAAATTCCCGCTCCTCCTTCCCCATCTCCTGCCTCCCAGCAAGTGGTGGTGAGGGGCAGATAAATGTGATGGTATGGGGTGCTGAGCAGGGGACAGATGGGCTGCAGAGTGACCATGGTGTCCCCTCTGTCCCCAGGGACCTCAGGGTCTCCAGCCCACGCTCCAGCAAACGCCAGCAGCGCTCGCAGAGGGACACACAACCACCAGCTCTGCCTTGGGAAAGAAACATCTGGAAGAAGAAAAGATAAGAGACAGGAGCACACCAAGCTCACCAGAAGAATTTGGAGTCCTGTGGGTGCCACCAGCTCTGCTGTCAGTTGTTAGAGCTGAAGGGAAGGCCGTGAGTGGAAGAGAAGGAGGTGGAAGTCTCCGTGTTCTTGCTGCATGAACCAGCGCTCAAGGGACTGCTGCAAAGGGAAAAACTGTCTGTCCGTCCAGTCAGAGAAGTGTCCTGGAGCTGAATTGTGCCTTTTGGGATCAGGCGAGGGTCGTGCTGGAGTAGCACTGACGGGACTGTGCCCTGGAGTCCTCAGCAAGGGCTCAGCCAGGGGAACAGGGCTGGACCAGGGGCTCAGCCAGGGGTTTTGGGCAGAGCTGGACCAGGCAGCACTGAGCCCATCACTGCCCTGAGTTCTGGAGCTGTCCAAGCCTGGCCCATCCAGAGGGGTTTGCTGCTTGCTGCAGTCAGGGATGAGCTGCCTCCAGCCTGAGCCCACCTTTGCACTATTTTCTCCTGTCAGTGCCCATGGCCGAGGCTCCCGTGGTGGAACAGCTCCCAGTTTGTTGTGGGAGCTGTTTAGAGTTTATTTCATTATCCCCTGGGGCCAGCTCAGCGGTCAGGGGCGCTTGCTCAGTGGCTGAGAAATCCCTGGGGTGGATTCCCACCGAGGCCCTGGTTGTGGCTGAGGGGCAGGATCAGCTTCCCCAGGGATGGCACCAAACCCAGCTGGGGCTCAGGGGCAGGATCAGACACCCCAGGGATGGCACCAAACCCAGCTGGGGCTCAGGGGGGCTGAGCTTGTGCAGGAGCCCCCACAGGCAGGGCAGGGTGAGCAGAGCCCTGGGGTGGGTCACAGACCCCTCTCATCTCCTTGGACATGCTCTCAGTGAGGATCTGCAGCTCCTGAATATCCCAACCTCCTCCCAGCTGGAGAGGGCACACAAAGCCTGGCCTGGCTCTGCTCTGAGCCAGCTCTGCACAGTAAATGAGCAGTGAGGGCCAGCAGGTCACTGTGGGGAGGGGAATGCAGCCAGGTGGGAATGAAGAGGCGGGAAGGACTGGTTGGAACAGGGGCTGGGTGATCTTTAAGGTCCCTTCCAACCCAAGCCCTGTGATTCTGTAAGGGAGCACAGCCCTGCCTGAGTCAGGCTCAGGTTTAAACCCAGCTCTGCTGGCCCAGGGGAGGGAAGGAAACATTTGGGACAAACACTGAGTGCAGAGCCTGGAAACCAAGCTGGCAGGCAAAGGCAGCCCTGGAGCTGTGTCACAAATGCACTTTTGTTTGCCTGGGCAGACTGAGCTCTGCAGGAGCCAGGGCTGTCACCTGGGCAGGGCAGGTACAGAGCTGCTCTCCATTCTGGGTCCCTCTGCTGCCCGGGACTGCACAGAAGCTTTGGAGAGGCTGCTTGAAGTTGGTGGTGGACCAAAACCTGTGGCTGTGGCAAGTGTAGTCCCAATGGACAAGAAAAAGAATTCCTTGATTTTGCTTTAAGCCCCAGAGAGGGGAGAAATAAGACCAATTGATTGTATTGTGGATGAAAGAGCAGATGAATCATTTGGTCCCCAATGCTGCAGAGAATCTGTTTCTATCTTTGACCTTCTGAAGGTTGGAGTCATTCTAAAAAAAAACCAAAAGAAGAAAATCCTGAAAGGGTTTGTTCCAGAGGAAATTTTGCACATGGTTTAATGTGAGTAATTTAAAATAAAACTACTGCTGTAAAGTACTCTGTCAATCTCCTCATGTGTGTAATGTCCCACCCACCCTGAGTGACTTACTGCACACCTGCCAAATGTAGCATCCTGAAATCTGTATATTTATTTAAATCTATTGATTTTTTTTAGGCAGTGATTTTCATCGTATAATTTGTAATAAATAATGACAACAGTCAATGGTTTCCTTCCTTATTTGGTGGCTGGGGGTGGTGGGTGAGGTGAAAGGAATCCAGGTGGCCAAAAACAAATGGGAAAGGGAGGTTGGGAATGGTCCTGGGCACATTTCCATTCCTAGTGAACCCATCTAGAATCCTTCTGACTGACTCAAACAGTCCTTATCTTCAACATCTTCTTCCCTCCTGGATTTCTCTGGCAGCAGGGATGGGGAATTATCCCAGGTTTGTGGATGTGGGACCAGTTTGGATCCTTGTGCTGAGGGATCCTGGTGGTGTTTTCCCATGGTGGAGTGCAAGTCTTCCCCAGCCCTGTGGCTGTAGGGTCAGCAGGGCAGGGACCGAGATTTAGATCTGGGAAGGGATATTATTGTTATTATTATTGTTGTTATTATTATTATTATTATTATTATTATTATTATTATTATTATTATTATTATTTCTTCCAATCTAGAACTTATAAATTTTTTAATTTTTTATTTGATTGTTATTCATCTAGAATATAGAATTATTAAATTGTTATCATTGTTATTATCCCATCTAAAATCCATCTGGATGATTTAAACATTCCTTATCCTCAATAGATTATTCCATCTATTATTATCCCATCTAAATGGGATTGGATATTATTATTATTATTATTATTATTATTATTATTATTATTATTATTATTATTATTATTATTATTATATTTCAGTTCAAAAGCCATCATCTAAAAGATGATGTGAAGATGCTGGTGTGTCCTCCAAAGCCCCTCAGTGCCACCAAGGGCTGAGGGACAGCCTGAGCCTGGCAGGAGCCCCTGGTGGGGCTGCACTGATGCCAACCTCTGAGCACAGCCTTGGGCACAGCTTTAACTACCGGCCCTAATTAGGAAACACCCGAGAGAAGAAGATGCTGGAGAGCATCTTAATTAGAGTGAGGGGATAAGAGAGGACTGTGCTTGTTCTTGAGTTATTGCTGATAAAGATTAGCTGAAGGAGGAGCAATTGATAAATTCTCACAGGTAACAGGAAAGAGCAGAACAATAAAATTTCATTTAAGTGGAAAACCCAGGAAATCAGGCAACTTCCAAAGGCACCTCTGAGTATAAGGGATGGAGCATCTTTAATAAGAACCAGGTTTTTTTCCTATTGAAAATTCCCATCCAAATGGACACCTTGTGCCCTGCATGTGACTCTCCTATTTTTCAGGAATTCCTGGAAAAAAAGCCCTTCCCTGTTGGTCCACAGGCATCAAAATTCCCTCCTGCTCCATGGCACAGTTCTGTCCTCATCAGGATGTGCAACATTTTTTTAAATGGGTCTTTGTTCCCTTTTAATATTTGTTGAACTGGTTGTGGCAGAAAGAAGATGTGGTGACATAAAACAGGGTGAAGTTGAAAGAAGCAGCCCCAGATATGTGGAGGAGACTCTGACCATCAGGACCATGGAGATTTTGCAGGTAGATTTTACCACAGAAATGGTAAATTGGTGATTTTGGCTTCTCATCTCAGGTGGGCAGGGAGACGAGGAGAAAACTGAAACGGTCCCAGTCACGTTAAGGGATCACACAGTTTAAAAATGCATTAGTTAGCTGTGCTGGGTAATGAATTAGCCCCAGGTAAGCCCATCCTGGATGAAACTCTCTGTCCCTTGTCGCTATAGGACACGAAATAAAACAACACTCATGCTGGAACGTCCCAGGTAAAAAGGGGGAGTTTAATTTCTGACTCCAACTTTATAGACTTTCAAAAGTGACAGTGGATTGGAGGGTGACAGTGCCACCTCTCCAATGATTCTGGACAAACCAAGAGTCCATCAAATTTCTCCTTCTCCAGAAAAGAATGTGAAACAATAATTATTTACAGGAAAGTGTGTGAGAAATGTCATTAAAGAATGTAGACATCAGAAGGCTTGGAAGAACTTAAAAGAACTCAGACATCCCCTGTGCTGGGGACAGGGAGGGAGGTGCCCCTGGCTCAGCCTGTGCTGGAATTGCCATTCCTGAGTGCCTCTGGAAACACAGCCTGGAGAACAGGGCGTGAACACCTTGTTGAGCATCTGTGCCTGGGAATTGGTGGGAAAACACCTCAGGGGCTGGGCTCTGAAGGGGAGAATGACAAAGCTGATCTGAGAGACTTTCCCGGACTCTGGGATCTCCTCTTGCCTGTTATGGGGCTGGTCTAGCAGCAGCCACAACTCAGAACCCCCACAGAAGCTGGAAAATCCAACTGGGAGTTGGGAGAACCCCCATAGAGGCTGGAAAATCCAATTGGGAGTCGGGAGAGACCCCACAGGGGCTGGAAAATCCAAATGGGAGCTGGGAGAGCCCCATGGAGGCTGGAAAATCCAGCTGGCATTTAGGAGAGCCTTCACAGAGGCTGGAAAATCCAACTGGGAATTGGGAAAGACCCTGCAGATGCTGAAAAATCCGACTGGGATTTAGGAGAGTCCCCACAGAGGCTGGAAAATCCAACTGGGTTTTGGGAGAGCCCCAACAGAGGCTGGAAAATCCATCTGGGAGTTGGGAAAGATCCCACAGAGGCTGGAAAATCCTCTCCCATGTCCCTCCAAAGCCAGGGACGTCCCCATGGCACATCCTTTCATTCTGACCCCATTATCTGCAGTATGTGGCACCCAATAAATCACCCTGAAGCTTTTCCAGTTTTAATCCATGAAAATCTCCACACCTTCATTCCAGCAGCGAGACTGCAGCAGTTCAGAGAAGATCTGGGCTCAGAATGAGCCCCTCTCCGGGGATTTGATGGCAAATCCGAGGTGCTGCTCTGTGACTTTGCTGTTAAAAGGGAATAATTCTCCCTCCAGCTCCTTTGCAGGGGGAGGAGGAGGAGGGAGCAATTAAGAAAAATGTCTTTGACCTTCAGCAACTTAATCAGTTGCCAGTGTTCCTCCTAATAGTGTGCTAATGGTTAAGTTCTCCTGGCTGCCATAAAAAGTGCTATAACTGGAGGCTACAATAAAGCGCTGATCAACCCATCAAATGAGTCAATCCAAAAGTAATATCTGTCTTTGTAATGACTGCAATAAAAGCCATGCCAAAGCCAGGAGATGACGTGAATAAGAATGCTGCTGCTCAATTATGCTGAGCTGCTTTGCTGGGTGCTTGTGCCACACTGCCAGCCTGCTCTAGGGTGACACTGCCAGAGCCAAACTTTGCATTTGTGTGGTCTCCAAGGATGGTCCTGAGGGGTTTGGATGGATCTCCAACCAAGCCAAGAAGAGTTTTGGTGCAGAAAAAGGTGTTGAATTTGGGTTGGGGCTGTTTATCCTGACAAAATGCAGGAGGGAGGCATCACTGTGAGGGATTGCGGCTGGGAAAAGGGGAAAAGGTTCCCTGTGCTAACATGGGATTGGTGACAGGAAGCAGAAGGAGGATCAGTCAGGGAGACCCTTCCAGGCACTGGGGTTGACCTGAGGGGCTGGCTGGAAAATCCAACTGGGAACTGGGAGAGACCCCGACGAGGTTGGAAAATCCAACTGGGAGTCCCTGCATGGGGGAGCCAAACTTTGCATTTGTATGGTCTCCAAGGATGGTCCTGAGGGGTTTGGATGGATCTCCAGCCAAGCCAAGCAGAGTTTTGATGTTGAATTTGGGTTGGGGCTGTTCATCCTGACAAAATACAGGAGGGAAGCATCACTGTGATTCCCTCTATGAGGGGTTGAGGCTGGGAAAAAGGAGAAAAAGGGAAAGGGGAAAAGGGTTTATAAATTTTAGGTATCCTGGTGAAGGTTCCCTGTGCTAAAATGGGATTGAACACAGGAAGCAGAAAGAGAGGAAAGCCAGGATCAATCAGGGGGACCCTTCCAGGCACTGGGGTGGATCTGAGGGGCTGGATGGAAAATCCAACTGGGATTTGGGAGAGACCCCACAGAGGCTGGAAATCCAGCTGGGATCCAGGAGAGACCCACAGCAGCTGGAAAATCCAACTGGGAATTAGGAGAGCCCTCACAGAGGCTGGAAAATCTAACTGGGAGCTGGGAAATGGGGAAGTTGTTGCCTTCCATGGCATAAACCCATCCCTGAGTGTTTGCCATGGAAGGCAGTGACCAAGAACCCTTCAAAGGTCACTCAGGGGCAGAGGAGCAGAGGGGTAGAGGATCTCTCCCTGTCTGATGCCTTGTCTGGATTTTCCTGCGAGCTGGGGGCTCTTGGCACCCCCAGGCACTGCTCAGGGCAGGATGGAGCACAACCCCATCCACAAGCCAAGTTTTGTCTGTGCTGCCCTTGGCACAGGTACAGGTGAATAACAGAGCACACCACCCCTGGGGCCTGGAACATCCCCTTGGGAATTGTCCTGCTGTGCAGGGAGCACAAAGGATGGGGAGGAACTCCAGCTGCTCCCGCTGCAGGGATGGCTGCTGGCTTTGTGAGAAACAACTGCTCACTTTAAAAATTTTAAAAGGTTTATTAAACATTAATGAAGAATTACAACAAAAGGATTAAATAAGGAAAAATTGCAGTGCTGGGAGCTGCCCTCGTGGAAATCACATGGCCAGTTCATGTTCAAGATGGATGCTCAGGCTTTTATACCCCTGGGGTTGCATCAGCCAGCCCTGGCCCCTCCCAAAGTCTGTCAGTCAGCTCTTCTTTGCCATTAATCGGTGGAAACAGCTTTGTAACTTGATTAGAGATCAGGTGTTGTCTGCCACACCCCCTAAGCACCAAGCTTTTCCATTTCCAGCTGCCCCATGCAAGGGACACACGTGCAGCCTCTTTGTACCTGTCCTAGACAGCCCAGGCTGTGTGATGGCAACAATACAGGGGGGAAAGGGAACTGTGGTTATAACAGAGGAAATCTAAACTACAACAACATAATTGTTAAAAATAGGTTAGAAACGGTTGTAAAATAGTTGATAGATCGTTAACAGTACATGCTTAATGACCTATCAACTATTTTTGGTTGTTACATTGTAAAAGGGGTTAAAAGGGCAGTTATAAGAAATTACACCTCAGCACAGTGCACCACAAGCCAGCCTGGACAGAACTCT